GCCTCCCCCTGAACCGGCAGGGCCCCCGGAGCCGGAGGAGGAGATCCTGGGCTCCGACGATGAGGAGCAGGAGGACCCAGCAGACTACTGCAAAGGTCAGACAGACCCACACACACTAAAGTCTGCCTATCCCAGGCCGGCCCATTACTTGCACATCTGTCGTTCCGAGCTCAACAGGGGCTTCCCGGTGTCCTTTCTCTGCTTCCGTCTGCAGTTCTTTCCCTCTTTTCTCCCTCCGTCCTGATGGGATTTGCAGCAGTCACTCTATCCATCAGTGTGACACGTGTGGTAGTTGTTGTCGTTTCAAGGTTGTTTGGCCGTTGCCAGAAAGGAGTGCCAGTCTAGTTTCCTGCAGTGGCTCGCGATGCCAAAGGCTTTCTGCTTTCTGCTAAGAGGTTCATTCTCATTACACAGCTCTGTTTGAAAATGCTACACCCCTTTGGTAAACACTGTAGAGCATTACACTTGTCATTCGATATCTGAAGGAAAAAGTAGTGCAGTGTGTTTAAAATTTAATTTAGCTTTTATTCTAAATATGCCATGATGTCTTTTAATCATATACTATATTACATTATAAAGATTCATTCGGAAAACTTTTGATTTCTCTGAGTTTGTTTTGGAAGAAGCACAGCCAAACTGTCTGATCTCACTTCAGTGAGATAAAAGACTAAAAGAGAAGACAAAACATCACATCTCTGTTATGTGTTTTGGCTTCTATCATTGGCTTTTTTAAATAAAAACCAACAACTTGGTATTATGCTCATAAAGCCCTTTATGTGTTAGCTCTTTTGTTTGTTTATTTATGAACATTTTAAGGACTTTAAAACCCTTATAATGCATGTTGTAACCCTGTTGGGATAAGTACATAAATAGGTTTATTATTATGAGCAGTAGTAGTAGTCTTTGTAGTGTTCTGTGTACACATTGAGGCTAACCCATCCTGTTCTGCCCTGCTCTGTACTGTTTTATTTAAAATTACATTACATTGTACACAGGTTTATGTTCAATAAAATACATGGACAACAAATGTAACCCTGGCAAGCGAGACGTTGCTCTCTGCCAGCTGGTAGTGTCATTGTAGCAAGAACAAACAGGATTTTGATGTCTCATTTAGCTTAACATATTCAGATCCAGGTTGAAGTTTTACAGACAATTACTGAATCATTTTTTATTTCACCTCTTAACAAACGCCTCCTTTTTGTACACAAGCCCAAAAATGACAAACACTAAATAAGATGGTTATTGTTCTTGAGCCCCTTTAAACACAATCATGATCCTGGTCTTTTCTGAATGGTAACTTTTTGGAGTTTAATATAATAAAGTCAGTTACTCTAAGTGATATTGAACCACATTTACTGATACACAATCAAAGTTAGAGTTAATTTGAATCTTTATGTAATGTTTTGTATGTACTCCTGTTACAAAATAAGCAACTGTTGTCGCAGTGATATTGATTTGAAGAGTTTATACCGATACAGAATCACAAGGCTTTGTGCTTTTAGGCAATGTTTAATTTGTTTAATTATAAGTTGAGTTGAATCTGAATAAGAATGGATTAAGAAAAGATACTGTAGGGCCTACACCTTTTCAATATACTCTATTCATGTGTCTGACACCCCCTAGGACAGAGGCACGTAACTGTCAGTGTGTTTAGTATGCAGTACATTCTTATGTGGGATAGGAGTTTAGGTTACCATCATCGATTAATCTGTAAATTAATCTATATATAAAATATTGATGAAAAGCAACACATCTTCACATTTTAAAAGCTGGAACCAGAAAATATTTAACATTTTCTTCTGGAAAAAAAATATTATGATGATTTATTATTATCAAAATAGTGGATTTATTTCCCTTATGTTCAACTAATCATTTCAGTACTAATTTACAACTATGTTTCAGTGAAATGTTTTTTGCATCTCAGGTTTAAAAAGGTACCTGCCATTAGAAATGTTTGTGCTGTACTTTCCTGCTCCTTCTCCTTTTTTATTAATCCACAACACTTCTCTCCTGTCTCATTTTCGGTCTGTTTGACCTTCCTGCCTCTCTCTGCCGCTCTCCCTCTAGTTCTTACTCACTAATGGATTTCATGTCATTGCCTGGTTATCGCTAACAGACGCCTGTAACCTTCATCTCTCTCCCTCTTTATCTCTCTCAGGAGGGTACCATCCGGTGAAGATCGGGGATTTGTTCAACGGGAGGTACCATGTGATCAGGAAGTTGGGGTGGGGCCACTTCTCCACCGTATGGCTATGCTGGGACATACAGTGAGTCACACACACACACTCTTACACACTCACACACACACACACACACACACACATTTGCACACGCAAGCATACAATGTAGTACAGTGTAGTACAGTAGGCTCACAAGAAACTCACACTCTCACCACACACACGTCATGACCCACATATACACAAGTTCACTGACACATGCACACAAAGGCTCTTCTTGCAGTCCTTCACTTCACCTTGCTCTCTCTCACACACATCACCTAAACCACACACACCACACCTGCACCTGTTGACACGATTTGGTACGTCACTACAACAACGGTTGCAACCAACACCATCCTGTGCTGGCAGCCAGGCACCAAAGCCATCCATTTGCACTATAATGTTGTTTCTGTGTTCACGTGGCAACCAAGGTGGATAGATGACACTGTATCATCAACCCAGTGTCACCTTTCACTGACTCGCACACACTCATCTGCTCGTGTCACTGGTGTTAATTACTCTAATGGTGGTCGTAACTAGTGAGCACAATGTACGGTCAGATATGTGAAGGGTGTCAATGTCCATTGGATATATTCTGTTTATCCACTGTGTTAATATTAATAATTGTGGTGTCTTCTCTACTACCTACTACTGTAACATGCATAATTTACGCATGAATTCATATCAGAGCAATATTATTACTACTACTCATTGCTCATACAGTGATCAATCTACAGAGAATGGTCACCTGAATCTGCAGCTCCTCTCAGCTTTATAGCAAGTTTCAGCTCATTGTTTATCTGTCCAGCCCACAACTTTACTGTTTTGGTTCACTCTCAGCGCTCTCATAGTGTCATTTTCAGCAGTAGCATGTAACTGTTTTCAGAGAAAAAACTCTAAAAACCCACTGTACACTACTTGCTCGACAGCAAACGGCAGACAGTTACAGTTAGTGGAGGCCAAAGTAAGGTCTTCATATTTTTATCCACTCAACCAGCAAGTGATTTTTTGTATGATTTTTTTGTTGATAATTGGTTATTTTTTTAGTGATTGCCTACTCAATGAAATGAGTTTCAGTACTTGTCGTACTTTTACGAGAGCTAGGACAGTATAAGCACATTAGGCCGCTCAAAAACAGCTCTGAGACAGCATTATAAAGAAAGAAACTGAAGCACAACCAGAGACTGGACCAGATTTGAATTAAATACACTTTAAAAACTATGTATAATTTAAAAAATTCTAATTTAGCTATCAGTTACATTCATTGAGTCATTGAGTGTACTGTTGACTCACCACTGACTCAAAATAATTTTAAAATGCACAAACCTAAAAATAAGGATGGTATTTGAATGTCACCACTTGGCTATTCTATATGCATAGCTGTGTTTTCATTCGTGTGTAACAACCTAAATATAGGAATTGTAATGTTTTTGTTACCTTACAATGAGCTGTTTTTATCTACAGACGCCATGGAGGCCGCCCTGTTGAACTGCCGTGTTTCTTACAGTAGCCCAGAACGGACAAACCAAAACACTGGCTTAGATAGCGCGTGTTTCATGGCCACTGTAGATTCTCCCTCATGCTCAGAAGGGGAGGGTGAAGTGGGGAGTTGCAAGTTACACCTCTAGATGCCACTAAATCCTACACACTGGACCTTTAAGAAGTGATGTGATGTTACATCCTCATGTTACCTTAAATAAGAATGATCCCATTGAGTTCTATGAAAGGAGGCAGGGTTATACAGATCTGAGCTTTGCATAAAGGTACTTGGTATATGCAAATACCTTGAGATTAGGTATCAAAATGGGTGTTGGGTGAGAAAAAGTCATATTGATCCCTACAATACAGTTACAATATAATTAGCGATATATGGGAAAAGAGTTTCCCAAAGAGTTTGTGTGAGAGAATACAGGATTTGTTGGTTTGTATTGAAAAATTGAGTTTTAACCTTTTTAGTGAATTAGGATGAAAGAGTGCTTAGGAATTTTAATGGTCTTTTATATACCTCTTGTATTTTTTTTTTATCCACTAAGAGCAAATGTGGTATTTTATATACAATAAATGATGATGATGAAGTTATATACTTGGTATCTATTATGATCTAGGTCACAGGATGGGTCTGAAGCAGCCTGAGACACCATCCTGATAGCCGAAAAAGTTTTGGCGAATAAAGCATGGTGTGCTGAAGAGTTGTGCGGCAGCTTTTAATTTTGATTGACTTCTACCATTAGTGTTAATGTTATTCCTGTTATAAAATGCCACATTTGCATTTCCATTGGCAGTGTGGGCAGTGTGAACGATAGCTGAGCAAAGGTGTAATAAAGGTTCAGGCGAGAGCCATTTTATAATATCTTTGACATGGACACATTAATCAGCATTACTGGATTTAACAAGCCATTGGTGTGAGTCGAAAATGAAATGCCCTTATGTATCTGTGTCATTACAGAGTGAAGAACTTTGTGGCGATGAAGGTGGTGAAGAGCGCCCAGCATTACACAGAGACGGCACTGGATGAGATCAAACTGCTGCGATGTGTGAGAATCTGATTAGTTTGACATTTAAGTGTGTGGGAATCCTTTTTCGCTTTTCATCTTTCTTTGTTATTTTGTTTGTTCCTTTTTTCATTTTGTCTTCCCTTCCTTCCTTCTTTACTTCTCCTTTTCATCCACCTCTGCTCAATTTTGTCCTCCTAATATCCCTACTTTCCTGTTCTTCCTACCTCCTTACATCCCCTCTTTACACCTTGCATCTCCCCTACTCTGTTTCTCTGTTAACACAAAACACTAAAGATACACTGATCATTTATCTTTCATGGTGGGTGCAGAGGACAGTCATCTTTGAATCAATTTTTCAGCATCTTTATCACCCACATCCATCTCCCTTGTCCTCCTCCTCTCCTCAACTCTCTTTTCCTCATTCTCACTCTTCTCTTTCCTCCACCTTTCTCATTCTCCTGAAGTCATCCCATCCCCTTTTTCTTTCTTTTTTCATCAGCATGCCCTATTTTTACTCTCCTTTTTCCTTCAATATTCTCTTACTTTATCCTGTCTCTATCCTACTGTTGTCTGTCCTCCTTCTTCTGCTCCTTCTTCCTGTCAGCTTTGCCTCATCTTATCATGCTCTTGTCTTCCAGGTGAGAGAGAGCGACCCTAGCGACCCCAACAAGGACATGGTGGTTCAGCTGATAGATGACTTCAAGATCTCTGGAGTCAACGGCATACGTATCCCAGTCAGAAGAGTGTGTGCATTTGTATGTGTTTGTGAGTGACATAGATATGATAACGTGAGACCTTGACTCTCCATCCCAGATGTGTGTATGGTGTTTGAGGTGCTAGGTCACCACCTGTTGAAGTGGATTATTAAATCCAACTACCAAGGTCTGCCTCTGCCATGTGTCAAGAGCATTATCAGACAGGTAAGGACACACACACACACACACCAGACACGCACACACACAAACCAAACTATTTATAGACACAATATATCAGACATTGTCGACTGTAGTTCCGCAATATTTGGATAAATTATGAATCTGACCACTGCGATGTAGGATTTGTAAAATTACATGGATTTCCCTAAGAGTGGTGGTGTATTACAGGTCAAATAATGTGACATATTTATTGAATATTTGTCCTGAATGGAGCTGTATCTTTATATGACAATGATATTTAGCATTGTAAATCAACCTACATTTATAGGCAGTTCATTCTCTTTTGCATGGGCACCCTGCGTGTACAGGACAATAAAAGAAAATGCAAAATAAAATAAAAGATTTAGACAAAAAAAACTAGGGTAAAATGGTGAAAGGGCAAAAAATAGAATCAAACCAGCATCAAATACAATCTGAAAAACACATCAATAAAACCTTAAAAATCTACACTTACAGGTAGAGTAGTAGTGTTCCTCTCCTGACCACTCTCTGGATAAATATATGCTTATCAGCTTCCTTTTTTATAAGATCTATTATATATAGTTATGTGGTTCTTTTCCACAGGACTTATTCAGAAGGTTGAACTTCACCTAGATAGCTGACAATATTCTTCTTACTGTGAAGCAGTGGTGCTTCATTGCTTCACCAGCCTAATTAAACAAAAAGTAGGTTAGTATATCATAAAACATGCATGTGTATTGTAGTGCTGAGACTTACAGTATTTCTATATATAATTCCTTGAGGAGAGGAGGTAAAGAAATCGTAACTTATTCGGTTTCTATGTCCAAATGCTGCTTCCACGGCTGTAAAAGACTAAAAGAAAACGTGGATGAAGAAATATAATATAAATATCAAGAGCAGCTAAATTCACACCCAATACTGAGGCCTACTGATACAGTGCATGCTATTGTTTACTTCACACTTCACACTTCAGTACCACTGCCGTCTTTCAGGCATGTTCCCCTCAGTGAGCTGATGATCATGTGAAGTTGTTGAGCCTTTTCAGCAATTGCTAGGCTCCGGCCTTTCAAAAGCCGAGTTAGTTATACACTGTTTAAGTTAGTTATACACCATATTTCTTACTGCATACTGCATATAGTGTTTTATAGTCTTTATATTGTCTGTTATA